GTCCTTGTACACCAAAGGAGTTTGCTACTTCCATGTAACCTACACAGTAGCATTTAAAGAACTTAGTAGTAAATTTGTTGCCTAAATTAGAAATAAGGAAGGGAAAGGAATTGATGTGAAATTTGCTTTCAATAGGTATAAAGTTCATTCACTTTCATTCATTATTCAACACAAATTTATGGAATAGGAAGATATTGGGCTACCTCCATGAGGTAGCTATTACAGACCATCTTAGTTGTTCAAAGCTAGGGAGTTTGGTTTATCAAGATCTGGATTCCAGTTCAATGTGCTATTATAATCTCTGAGTAACTATCTCAGTTTTTCTTACTTTTATGGGGGCTATTCATAGGGTTGATATGAGGTTTAACTGAGATAATGCATGTAAACCACTAAGCACAGTGCTGGTATAGTAAGCACTCAATACATATTTGATTTTTAATTAAAAAATTTAAATTGATTTTCAGAGAGAGAGGGAGGAAGGGAAGAAGAGGGAGAAGGAGAGGAGAGGAGATGGAAAGAGAGAAACATCAACTTGCTGCTCCACTCACTCATGCACTCATTTGTTGATTCCCACAGGTACCCTGATGGTGATCAACCCTTGACCTTGGCCCATCAGGTATACTCCAACCAACTTAGCTACCCAGGCCAGGGCTCAATTTTAATTTTAAATGATATCCTTATTATTTTCAGTGAAGGTCAGTTACCTGGCAAATTGTCAAGATAGTTCTCCCCTCACCAAGCTATTAGTGAGAATGTCTTAAACTATTTTTAAGGTGAGTGGAGCCAAAAAATTGTGTATTAAATGAATGCTTTACATGGCCACTGGTTAAACTTCACTTTCAAAGGTTTAAAAATTCAAGGAAGCCAAACTATGGTTTACAAATAACACAAACATCTAGCTATCAAGGTCATTACTGGGAAAATCTGAATCTGTCTAAATGACATCTCACTGGTATTATTAAATAATTTCTGTGGCTACAACTTCATGGAAAAAATGTATAAACTCCTATTAACTCTCTCATCATTTCACTGAAGTATGTTATACTTGATCACCTCATTTACACAATATTAACAATGCCATTTGATATTATTATTTGACATGATGAGGCAATTCATAAAATAAGATAAAGTGGCCAATATACATATGAAAAAGTGTTACATCATTAATAATCAGAATTGTAAATGAGAGGTTATTTTGAACTATCAGCTTGACAAAGATTAAAAAGATGAGTGCTATTGAGGTGCGGTGAGACTGGCACTCTCACATATTGCTAGTAGAAGTATAAATTAGTACAATCGTTCTACTCGCCAATTTGGCAATACAGGAAAAACATTCTGAATATGATCTTTGACTCAGTAACTCCACTTCTTGTATTTTATCTTAAGAAAATACAATCAGACAAATACACAAAGATGCTTGTATATGCATGCTCACTACAGTGTTGTTTATGATAACAAAAAATTGGAAACTACCTAAATGCCTACCAATAGAGAAATGTTTAAATAAAATGTGGTTGAGCTGTACCCTGGGATTCCATGCACTTGTTAAAAACTAGAGGCTCAGTGCATGAAATTCGTGCACTCGCGGGGTCCTTCAACCCGGCCTCTGCCCTCTCGCAGTCTGGGAGCCCTTGGGGGATGCTCGACTGCCAACTTAGGCCCACTCCCCGCCAGGGGAGCTGTGGAGGTGGGAGAGGCTCCTGCCACCGCTGCTGTGCTCACCAGCCATGAGCCCAGCTCAGGACTTCTGGCTGAGTGGCATTCCCCCTGTGGGAGTGCACTATCACCAGGGGGCAGCTCCTGCATTGAGCATCTACCGGGTAGATTCTACCCCCTGGTGGTCAGTGTGCATCATAGCGACTGCTTGTTCCACCGTTTGGTCAATTTGCATATTAGCCTTTTATTATATAGGATGATTGGATAGATCTATTTGTACTGGTATGGAAAGATATCCATGATTCATATTTGACACCATTTTTATATTTAAAAAATATATGCATAGCCCAGCTGGTCTGCCTCAGTGAATTGAGTGTCATCCCATGGACCAAGAGGTCCCTGGTTAGATTCCGGGCCAGGGCAAAACCCAGTAGGGGGCATGCAGGAGGCAGCCATTCTATGTTTCTCTCTCTCCCTCTCCCTTCCTCTCTATCTAAAAATCAATAAAAACATATTTTTCTAAAAAGTAAGATATATATATGTAGAGAGATTTAACCAGATTCTTTTCTATGCATACATTTTTTAGAAGTATTTTTTAAATGTACACAGTTGTGTAATCATTACTACAATATAATTTTAGAACTTTTTTTTGTTAACCCCCCAAAAGTTCCCTCTTGCTCATAGGCTTAACTTTCACAGTAGTTAGGTTGGGATTGAAGTTGGGTAGGGGGGAGGCAGAATGGGAGGCAGACAGGTTCCTAATTTATCATTTCTATATTATTTCAGTTAATTTACAACAAGGATATACTATCCTTTAATTTGAGAAAACAGTAAAGGTTTTTCTATTTTGAAAATAGCGAAAAAAGGAAACAGACTTAACCCCTTCCCCGGCAGAAACGTGTATACACGTTTTCACAAAATGTTCTTTTTTCAGTCGTCGACGAGTATACTCGTTTAAAAACTTTACCTTCAAAAACCAGCTACATACGTACCATTCTAAATAATTTCATCTAGAAACTTTCTGAGGAAATACTATTCTTAACCACAAAAATGGGAAGAAAAAATAATTACAAACTGTTTTCATAACCAGCATCAAAAATACTATATAGAACCAAAATAAAAAAATTAGTCTGAAAAAGAAACGTTTTAACAAAAAAATTATTGGGGTAGGGGTTAAACCCTTTGACCCAAATTTGCTTCTGGTAATTCCCTAAGAAAATAATCAAATATGTGGAAAAGGATTTGTAGAGATATTCATCAATGTTTTATCTAAAGCTGAGAATCTAAATATTCCACGTTTTAAGGAAACAGTTACTAATGGAATGGGAATATGAAATATGTAGGGTGCAAACCTTTATATTCAGTATAATTTAATCCATGTAAATAAAAGTCCATCCACAGCCAAAAAGTCCTGTTTGGAAATACAATATAATCTCACCAATGTTTATATCTGGATGGTAGAATTAAAGTATGTGTTTGCTTCTCATTTTATTCTTTGTGCATTTAAAAATTTTCCACAATGAGTATGTATTACCTTTACATCTAGTGCCACCTGCATAAATAATAATAATAGTTAAAGATAGATTAGTTTTTATTGCCACAGGTGTATACATCTGTCAAAACATAAAATCGTATATTTTAAATATGTATAGTTTGTTGCATATCAATTCTACCTTAAACTATGAAAAAAAAAAAGAGGGGGGATCTTGAGAAACAAAATAATTTTAACCCTCTCACTGGAAGAAGAGTTTTGGGGCTGGAGAAAAAATGGTTGGGCCTTATATAGATAGCAATTTGGCCTCTGCTCCAGATAATTTCCATTCATTCAAGGGATCTGCCTTCTCATTATATGCCAGGAATGTTGTCAGGTTCTTGGCTACAATGATGAGTAACAAGCCACTGACCTAAAAGTGCTCCTTTCTGGTGGAGAACAGGAAGGCAGGTCACTATCTGGTAGATTCCAGCCAACGCCCACATGGCCCAAGCCTTCTCTCACTCATGCTGCCCAAGGGGCCAGAGGCAGATCAGGAAGCCGAGGTAGTAAGTGGTTCAGATGAAGTCAGGAAGGGTGGCACAGGAATACGGCTGCTAAAGTGGCCAGCAGAAGGTAGATTACCCTCAAGGAGGGTCGTGGTCATCATTCCAGAAGTGGGTTTACATGCTTCATATTATCTATGTCTATCTACCTGCACACTTAACAAAACAATTTTTTAAATTGATTTCAGAGAGGAGGGAGAGGGATAGAGAGAGAGAAACATCAAAGGTAAGAATCATTGATCGGCTGCCACCTGCACACCCTCTATTGGGGATCGAACCTGCAACCTGGGCATGTGCCCTGATGGGGAATTCAACCGTGACCTCTTGGTTCATAAGTCCACGCTCAACCACTGAGTCACACTAGTCGGGCTTACCTGCACACTTGTAACAACAGCAAGAACTAAAATTGAGCAGGCACCGCGCAAACAGCTTATACCCATTGCCTCATTCACTCCTCTCCATAAGAAAGGAAAGGTTACTGCCCAAGGTCACAGAGCTGGTAATCTCTAGCTCCGAAGCTCCCAGCCATCACACGTGCTCCTCTCACTGTACTCCTGGACCCATTTGAAAGCGAAAAAATCCTTTCGGGCCCCCATCGGTACAGCTCAGCTTTCAGTGTTTACAACATTTCTCAGATCCAGAATGGAGGCAACATCCGCTAGCAACGTCGACAGGGTCGTGCCCGCGGGGGCAATTCCACCCAAATCCTGGACTGAGAGGATTTTTAGGGCTTAGAGGGTAAATGGGGAACAATGCGTAAGGAGTGAGGAACGCCCGAGTCCACGTCGCACC